TTTTTCATGTGTGTGCACTCTCACTAGTCCATGTACTGAGCCAAGAAGCAGACAAGCAGTTCAACAACCCTCCACAGATAGGAGAGCATTGAAAAGGGAGTACAACAGATACAGACATAGAGCAGAGAAAGAGAAATAAACAGACAAGTGTCGGGGCTAAAAAAGCAATCCAGACTATTGATGAAATCGTTCTATTCATTTGACTATGGAAATGCAAATGCTTTTTTTCTTTTCTTTTTTTTTGCTCCAATTCCTCTCCTTACTCCATTCTTTAATTCAATGTATTTTCTCTCCAAAAGCATTGGCGGTATAATCTAGATAGAATTGTGTAAGGTTTTCTCCCTCTCTTTTTGCTTATTGGACTGTGTGTTCTTATCAGCATCGAGAGCACAATGCTTGGTGTGATGGAAAGGTATTAGCCAACCCGCTGCAGCTACATTGTCAGCACTTCTTCCTTCTCTGTCTCTACTGCTTCCTCCTCTCTTTCCCCCACTTTTCCTTCCTGCTCTTATATTTCCCCTCATTTTGATCACTTTTTCTATAGGAATTTGTTTTGAAAACTGTGACATGAGTCTTTCCTCTGCATATACGCATTATAAATTGTTAAGCCGTAGATTAAGCATTTGTCATTCTCTAAATAAAACTGGAGATCTTAATCATAATATAAGCTTCATATTTCCATTTATTTTTAGTCTGAGATCTTCATTTTTGATCATATTTCGGTTTATTATTTGTGTTGATAATTAAATTATGATGCATTTGTTTCACACACCATGTAATTGCTGACTTCTAGGGACATGCCACCAGCAACATGAGTCCAGTAGAGCAGGCGAGGTCAGACAACCAGACCAGGTGTTGTCTCAACTTTTGATTTGATAGTTAAAGGTGAATGTTAAAAATATAGACACCTACTTGGTACCCCAAGTAGTGCTCCATTTTGATCTCATCTCCTCTTATCCCCCCTTTTCTGCTCTGTTCTCCTCTCTTCTCTGTTCTGCCGTTTTGTTCTGTACCCAGGGGAGGGACAAAAACAGTTTGGAGTTGTTTGAGGATCAGTTTGTGTTTATGGCTGCCATCTAGCGTGGCAGTCGAGCAAAGATTGTATATAATAAGAGAGTGCGAGAAACACAGAGCAGAGGAGCACACAGTAAACAGCACCGGGACACAAAGTGAGGCACAGAGTAGTTGCTTTAATACAATGATTGTATGTTTGTCCCTGCCAGTTGTCAGAGCGCAGCCTCAGCCCACGGCTCTAATGACAGCTTGTCATACTAAAGTGGCCCACCTTCCTTCAAAACACACAGGAAAAAAAACTGTCTTTTTCCTCGGTTTCCTTTCATTGTCATTGTTGCCTCCTCTCTCCATGTGTCCACATATTTATCTCTTTTTCGTGAGTCACTGTGTCTTCAAAATTGAGTGAAAGAAAGAAATAAGGGCAAAGAGAAAGAGAAAATGACAGGGATCGAGCTGGTAATGGAGACAAGGGAAGGTGGTAATCTTTCTGGTGTGTGTGTGTGTGTGTGTGTGTGTGTGTGTGTGTGTGTGTGTGAGTGTGGGTTGTCTCCATGTAAGGGACAGGTAAATAGGCCTGCTGAATATTTGATGTTTGCAGGAACTAAACAGCCACTTTTATCCCCTTGCCTTGGCAGTTTTGGGAAGCTCTCTTGTGGTCAGTTTATTTACGGCAACTCATTTTAAAGTATAAAGCTAGATAAATGAACTTGTAGTCCTTACTTTCATAGATCCGAAAATCATCTTTTATGCAGCTTTGTATTTCAAAAGGCTGGGAGTGTGCATTTTCTAGTTTGTTCTGTTTATTTTACTGCACATGTGGAGCTCAAATTACCGTTATATGTCCACTTTATTTGTTGATTAAGCTGCCGTCTGTCAATTTAAAAACTTCAAACAATTGAAAACCAGTCCTTTCTTCATGACATCGTATACTGTAAATCAAAAATGATAAAATGAATTGTTATATGCTATATGATTAGTGACAGTGTCCTAATATCATATTTACACACAATTCATACATCTCTAAAATGTCTTTACTATTGGCTCTTCTTTTACAACATTGTTACAATAGGCAGTAACAAAATATACTATAGGGTTAAAAGGAAAATGTCTTTAACAGTATTAAAAAAAACAGCTAAGCCTTAAACATGATTACAGCTCTTCTTTGTGTTTTACTGAAATCATCTTATAACACACGGCTCACGTCTAAAAGCCTCTTGTGAAATAACAAAAAGAGAAAGGAACACACTCAAGCCTTTCACTTCATATAAGTCTCTTTAAACACCTAAAAACATAAAGAATTGATAAAGAATTAGACCCAGCCCCTTCCCTCTCTTTCTCTCCGCACTCATCTGAAGAGCAGACAGGCACAATAAGACTGCTCTTTCAGCACTGAGCCGTCGTTACATAGCTCCATAATTATACTGATAACATACATACATAAATGCATTCAACCTCTCGCTCGGCACAGCGCGCTGCCTGTGATTTCTTAATCTTCTTTCCTCTTCTCCCCTCCTCTGAACGCATGTCTTCTTTTTTTATTCCTTTTTATTCCTCCCCCTTCGACTGCCATTATTTTTCATTCATAAGCAGAGTGGGAGAAAAGGAGACGGTAGAGTTAAATGGAGAGAGCGAGAGAGGAGAGATGGAGAAGAAGAAGGAAAAAGAGAAAGATGGATGAGAATTTGAGAGAGATAGGAGGGGGGAAAAGCGCTTGAGATCTTATTGCACTTAAACTCTTTCACTTAATGGTTCTCTGAGGGATTGACGGTCGAAGGAAGGGGGCATAAAAGAGCATAAAGAGTGAAAAAGGAGAGATTAAATCATCACCATCACATCATCATATTAAATGGCTCTACTCTCTTTTTCTGTCACCACTGTATTTTCTATCCCTCTCCTGGAACATAGACAAACCTGTGCGATCTCTCAGCGTCTCGTCACTCTTAAATATTTGCATTCATTTCTTCCTCACTTTTTCAAGTCTCTCTCTCTTTCTATCCATCCAGTGACTCTTTATTTCCCCCTCTTTTTTTTACCTCACTTTCTTCCACTTGATTTGTGTCCAAATCTTTTCCACCATCCCCCTCATTCCAAACTGAAGGCCTACCTTAGCATCAGATAAATGGATTTATAGACATTGGTGAATACCACAAAGCCACGATTAATGGAGTCACTGAATTAGATGAAACTCCAGGAAGCGGAGGGTAGAAGAGGTGGTGAGAATAAAATATATGATGAAAAGGGAGAGGGGGCGAAAGGCCAAAGTATTGTACATTATAAATGTCATGTCACTTTATGAAAGGAAAAAATGGATTTAAAAGCAGTGCAATTCTGGGACAGGAGAGTTTTTGGTCTCACAGTATCTGTGTGGGTTTGGTTAAAGAATAAGAATAAGCTGTTTCTAATCAAATAACAATGCAGCACATTAAAAAGTGAAGAATACAGATGTAGAAATAGTGTCTGTCATTTGGCTGTCATCTGATTTTGCAGCAGATTCCTCTGTCTCAATTCTGTCTGTGGCTTTCTAAAGCTGTCTGCCTGTCTGTCTGTCTGCCTGTCTGACTGTCTGTCTGTCTGACTGTCTGTCTCTCTGTCTGTCTGTCTGTCTGACTGTCTGTCTCTCTTTCTGTCTGTCTGTCTGACTGTCTGTCTGTCTGACTGTCTGTCTCTCTGTCTGTCTGTCTGTCTGTCTGTCTGTCGACTATATCCATCCCCCCACCCTTCCCTCCCCTGACTGGCGCTCCATTCTCCGTCAAGGCACTGTCTGTGTTTTATGGGTCCCTGTAGAACAGGGATCTTTTACAGGCCGACTGGACTTTAGAAGCCCCTCGTTTAGCAGCATCCTGCCTTAATTAAAAACCCCTTTTGTGCTTTCTGCCTTTAACAATGAAACGGGAGAGAAGGGAGGGAGGGCAGGGTTAGAGGAATGGAGAGTGGTAATGCAGAGAGGAAGAGATAGAGGAAGAGAGAGAGAGAAAGAGAGAGAGATGGCAGTGAATAGGAAGTGATAGGGCGACAGGCAGATAGATAGTAAGGTAGACAAAGAGAGGGATGGAGAGATATGGACAGAGGGAAGATAGCTGTTAATTACAACTGCCATTAACAAGGCACGAGCCGAAATTCTCAGGGAGAGGAAGAAGGAAAAACAGGTGAGCAGAGAGAGAAACAAGGAAAGCTGTATGGCTGGAGAGAGAAAGTGAGAGGCTTACACTCTTTAGATACGTTTTGCATTGGTTTATAAAAATGTCCTTTTCTTGTTTTAGCTTCCCCTACAGTAACTTCTTCAGAGGCTTTCGTCATTGTGTGCTTTAATATGACCACATGTGTATCTGTTTGTATCTGGTTGGATGTGTTGGTGTGTTGAGAGAGAGAGAGAATCATGACTGTGTGAGGCTGTCTTTGGGATGATTGAACAGCAGAGAGGCTGCTTACTGATTACCTTCATGTAGAACAAGCTGCTATTGACTGCAGAATGACGAATGACCGTCGACCCTAAGCATGTGTGTGCGTTTCTGGGGCTGTGTGGTAGTACAGAAGCTTCTGTGCTACATAATTTTTATTCATGGGTCTCCAAGTAAACCGCAATCAGTTTATTCTGTTTTTTGTTTTGTTTTGTTTTAAAGGCTGTTTCTTCTTTTGTTCCCTTTTCTTTTTTAAATTGTCCCTTCCATTTGAGTCTGTATGCCTTCTTCTTTCATTTCTCCTGCTAAAAGAATATCAAGTATGATGGATGGATTGTGTGTACATGTTTGTGTGTCATTTATAGAACTTGTAAGTCTTTGTGAAAAATATAAATCCATCATAGGAAGTGACAGTGAGGAAATACAACATTAGTACAAATGATTGCTGTAATTGAGCTTGAAAAATGCCTTAACGTCACTATTTTTCTTGTGGTGTAGCACAGCACTGACTGCATTTTACACATTTTCTTGTAATACTTTGTCTTCTTCTGCTTCTATTTGTCCCTGTCTCACTCCCTCAGGCTTCTCTGCAGAATGTCCAGTAAGGAGCGCCACCTAGACTCCAACTGTCCGTCCTCTTATATAAAGACTGAGCCGTCTAGTCCTGCCTCCCTGACTGACAGTCTAAACCATCACTCCCCTGGTGGCTCCAGCGACGCCTCAGGCTCCTATTCGTCCACGATGAACGGCCATCCCAACGGCTTAGACTCCCCGAGCCTTTATGGCTCCAACGCAGGGCCCCTTGGTCCTGCCGGCGGCCCCGGATCAAAGCGTTACGAGGACTGTTCATCAACAATTGGAGAAGATTCACAGATTAAGTGCGAGTACATGTTGAATTCAATGCCGAAGAGGCTGTGTCTGGTGTGTGGGGACATTGCGTCAGGATACCACTATGGAGTGGCATCCTGTGAGGCCTGCAAGGCCTTCTTCAAACGTACCATCCAAGGTTGGCTTTCATTTTAACTTATTGTTTTAACGTCTTTCAGTTGGTCATGTTACATTTATGGTCCTGTCACTTGCTTGCTTCAAGTCTTCAGCCACCGTTTTTTTTTTTTTTCTTAAGCTTTTTTAATCAAAGTTCGACTACAAACATTTCAGGTGTCAGCGTTGTTTTAGAAAATTTGCCAAAAAACTGTAGATACCACAAAAAGCTTTCATCGAAGTGTGATCTATCTGTTTTAAAATTGACTTAAGGACAGTCTTAAAAAACGCTTTTTTTGCACTTCATTTAGTTTAAACTTCCTCTTTTGCATGGTTAAGCACATGCACCTACACTACTGAGCTATTAAAGTAGATCCAGGACATTCAAGAAGAGCCTTAGGCCAGATGTGAACCCAGATTTTTAAATGGTGCGTCTCCTTCCCTGTCTGCTAAGTGAGCCACCAGGACACCCAACACAATCTTTTTTTTTTCCTCTGCCCTTCCCATTTATCTTTCTGTCATGTATGCACACACACACACACACACACACACATACACACACACACACACACACACACATACATAGACAAATAAGCATCCAATCACATTCATTCCAACAACACCCAGACACGCCCCCTTTCACCCTCAACCTTGACCTCTTCATGAGCAGCAAAGAGTGATTCAGGTAGTGTTTGCATTTTAGGATCTGGCTGATTATGTTCACAGGTAGAGTGTAAGCTCTAAGCCTGTTGTCTAGGAGATAACTTAGTGTCAGAAGAAGGTCAGAGGTTATGTCTAGGGGTCGGGAGTTCACGTAAGGAAGCAGAGGAAAGAACGGATAGAGCCATAATCCATATGATGAGAAGAGTACCAGGAATTAGGCTCAGTAATCCTTTGCTTGTCTCTTGTTGGTGGCCAGAAGTAGTCCAGGAAGTGAAAAGGTATTTAGGCTCACCTGTTTTGTGGATATTCAAATCATACCCAACCTACATTAGGTCCTTCATTTGCCCTTCTAAGAACACAATCAATCAGTCAGTCATTAAAAGAACCATTTAGCCCATGAATCAAGTCAATAGTCAATTTTAAAACAATTTATTGATTAATTGTTTTGGTTCAATGGTGGTTTGTACACTTCTTTCTTCAGCAAGGCAAAATAAGTGTACATAACATTTGGATTTATAATAACATTAATAATAAGCTGGTGATATGTATACGATGAAGTGCAAACATTTACCATCACAGTAAAAAAACAATCAGGCTCAAGATACTCTCCATATACCTGAGAGTGACTCCTCTGCACCCCATCCATTCTTTCCAATGCCAGTCTCCAAAAACAAGTCTCAAATATCGCACAATCGAGGCCCTAGACGCTTAAGCATCAAGCTTTATGTACAAAGATAACATATGTTAGATCAATTAATTGTTGGCTTTGTTTCATGGGAATTGTTGATGATTAAAAACACTGGATTTAACATCCGCTTATCCATTACCCATGGGTCCATTTACCACTTTTAAGTGGAGAATCAGGGAAAAGTCAGTGATTTTCATTTTAGGGCTGCCATGGTTATTTTGTCTTGATAGATAAGTAATTCATTAACCTTTGAATTCTTATTTTTTGAGCAGTATTGTGATGATTATCACATTTTGTTTAAGTTTTTTAAATAACTATTAGGCCTCATCAGTCAGCAGGAAAGCCTTCTTGTCAGACTACCAGTCAGCTGGTCGCCATCAATCTATTGAGTCAGTCAGTCATATCAGACAGGATTCATCTATCTGCCTCTCCATTCATCTATCTGTCGCTGCTTTCTTTTGCCTCCGATAAGCAGCTTTCCCAGTAAAGCCCCAGAGAGAGAGAGAGAGAGAGAGAGAGAGAGACAGGGGAATGTGGGGAGGGGAGGGGGGGGTCGTACATCCACTAGATGGTCACCACTACCTAGAGATGACCTGTATGTGTTTATTATGGGATGAGAGATCAGGACATGGTGCAATCCTGACAACGAGATTGGAGAACACACAAACCAAGATAAAGGTGCACACACACACACACACACACACACACACACACACACACACACACACACACACACACACACACACACACACACACACACTCATGGACACATAACCACATATGGACCTCCCACACACATGAATAGACTGCACACATGAGTATGTAATCACTTTATGTATAGGTTTGACCCTTAATTCATCCGTCATCACAGTAGGGTCTAGTAGTTCACCAATTCCACATGTCTCATTTCATTTGGAGGGCTTGTTAAAGGTTATAGAGGTGAGTGCACAGTTAGAGATTAAATACAGAAGACCAGCAAACATATATATATATGATGCTATGTTGACAGTAGAGCCGCTTTGAAGTATGACCTTGAATAGATTTAAAGCAAGCCCCTGCCCCTCTTACTTCTCTCTTATTTTCACCGTATTTGTAATCCCACTTTCTCCTCTGGTGAACATGTTGCAGATCAGGAAGGCCGGAGTTCACCGTTTTGGGTCAAGACTTTGACCAAGCTAGTTTCTAGGTAGGACTGTTGTCATGAAATATAGTGACGAAGCTGTATTCTAGGATGGGATAAAACTATGAAACGTGGGCCCCTGTAGGTATATGATGGAAATAAGAGCTGTGAGGAAAATCTTTCTTTCTTTACTAAGAAAATTCCTTAGTGATGAGTTTTTATGAATCAATTACAGTTTTGTTGAATCTCTCACCAATGTATATGCTACAGTGCTACAGTTAATATTTGTTTGATCCAGACAGAGCACTCTTAGATCCACTGAAACAAATGGGTCATGACATTATCTTTGCACAAATCAAACTCATGTACAGAGTTTGTGGCTGTGTGTGTTTGTCTGTTGGCTTTGCTCGTCCATGTAAATTAGTGCAGGTTAATGTGTAGTAGTGCACATAGGCCTCTGTTTATCCACTGTTTTGGGTTTGTGTGCAAATCTTGGCTGAAAAGCAGGGCCAGCCTCAGATGGGCAGCGGCAGACATATTGGTATGTTTCAACCCATTAGCCAATAAAACCGCAGGTAATCACCAAAAAAACACCTCCAGCTGGACAGGGAAGAGAGCATGGGGTAGGAGAAGAGAGGGAGGAGAGCATGGGGTAGGAGAGGAGAGGAAGAGAAGGAGAGGAGAGGAGAAGAGAGGAGAGGAGAGGAGAGGAGATCAGTTTGGACACACAAGTTTAAACAAGGAATGAGAGGAGGAGGAGAGAAAAGGAAGGAAGGAAAGGTCCCATGGATGTAGAAAGGAATTAGTAGTACCGGTATGTGAGGGTGTGTGTTTATGTGTGCATGTGTGTGTCACAGCATGGAGGAAGTGGCTCTGGCAGCTGCTGTTTCTGTGGCGTCAGTCCAGCGACACCTGACAACCTGCATCTATCACTCCCTTATTGAGAGAGAGGGGATAAAGGGGAATGAGGAGGTGGGTAGAGTGTTGGAGAGGGAGAGTTAGGGCAATGAAATGAGAAGAGGAATGCAGCAAGATGGAAGAAAAAGGAGGATATGAGCAGGAAAGAGAAGGATGAGAATAAGAATATGTAAAGTGAAAGTGGTGGGTTGGACCACCAAACAAGGATTTCTGTTTAAGAGTTCTGTTCAGACTTCCTTTACAAAAATAATGCACATGTTCCATTGGAATCCAGCCTTGATGACGCTTTCACATTGTGACCTTTTTTAGCTTTGTATATTTCATAGCTCTCCAGTTAAAACCATCCATTAACTAAACACCAAATGACCATATCAAAAGTGAAGGGCAGGCTGAACTCGTGACAAGACAAAAATCTGAGTTATAATATTAGGAGCAATACAAACAAAGACAGCTCAAAGACTTTGCAGGCAGACACACAGCCGTCATATTACACTGTCTGCACAATGGTGGTCAATTGTCATGCAGCAGGTGGACATTCACACACATCTCAAAGGGGATTGTAGGGGATTTGAGGCCCACAGATATCCTTCCTCACTAACACCAACACACCCACATATACAAACTCACACGTTATAGGAGGCACCAAGAACGTGTCTGCTCTAAGCCCACCCCAGTGCACAATAAGACACATTAAGACAGAAATGAAGAGAAACAAGCGCACACCTCCACATACAGTTCTGATATAAACCGTTGTTGTCTTATTCCTACCCCATACTCCCACTATGAAGAGGCTGTTAATATCTGAGCACACAAAGAGTATACAGCCAGATAAATCATAAATTACAAAGTCATATATCACACCAGTATATGTGTTTATAATGTAAGCCTACAGGACATACCCCCTCCTGAATATTAGTCTGATATATTAAGTAACTATAATACAAATGTGCCTATTAAAGTCTGCTGCACTTCAGTTTGAGACATTTTAGATTCTATTTTCTCATCTTCTGTTACACCAATCCTAGGTGTCACTTTGATAATATTCATAACATACATTATTATTATTATTATTGCCTACTGACACCCTCTTTTAGCGTAGCACTCAACGTTAACACATTTAGCCCTTCTTGCCATCCTCCCTATAAGTGGCTCTTTACTGCAGTTATCCATTTAGCCTGTTTAGCTCTTGCACTAACAAGGCGTTCTACTGACCATCCATTAACCCACACAGATTGTGCGTCATTAGTACATTTAGCCTCAGTGCTAGCTAAGTGTCCCTCATAATTGCTGAATTAATCTGCTCTTTCTGTATCATCAGCATGTACAGGTTGGGTGTAAGCTAACTAGTCCCATTAGTGTTGTCCATTAGCCTATAAGGACCATTCCCCTAGCACTGAGCATGTTTAGTCTTAACTTTAACTAACAAGACCCATTAATGAGCATCTTGTTACCCATTAAGGAGTGTTTAGCCTTTTCCCAAGCTAACTAGCCCCCTTAATCAGCCCAGTAATGAGAAAACATCCTCCCCACAGCAGCAGTCAATAGTAATCACTGTTGACTCTGTTTCAGTGGGAGATGCATTGGCTTGCTGGGTTACTGTAATTGTCAGGCGGACAGAAGAGAAAGGGAACAGTGTTTTTATTGTAAACACCTCGGCATAGTTTTTACTATGGACAGAAAAAAGCAACCCTAAACAGCCTAAAATGTCCATATGTATCAAAAAATGGTGCCTTATAACTTGAGGTGGGGGGAGGAAATTTACTATGTGAAGAATATGAGCAGATCTGGAGGAGACTGAAGCTGAAAAAAGAAGAAAAAAGAACAGAATAAAGCAGAGAAGAACAAAAAAGGAACGGTAAAGAGAGGTTGAGAAGATAGAAGGAAGAAGAGATCATAGAAAAAGATGAGTCAGTATCAGATAAGAGAGTTAAACTACTCAACAAAGACAAGAAACAATGAGGCAGTGAACATTTCCTGGTCAAAGTGGTATTAACCTCTAACACACTGAGGTGTTTTTGTTTAAGTTGGCAGTGTTGTTAAGTTAATAGACTTAAATCGTCTGATAATCTGAGCATGGGCTCTGCACAGGATTGTTACTGCGAGTGTACTGAAGCTTGTCACGCAACCTCAGATTTACCTGAGTGACACATGGGAAAAATGGACAGGTTCCTAAATATTCAGTCATGATGTGTTTTTACCTGTCATTTAAAGTTTTGGTTTTCTAATGAGGTCATCACTCGATCAGTTTCTCAACAATTCAATCGTACCTCTTGTTCAGTCCTGGTCTGTGTTGTCAATACTAAACTGAATACCAAAAAACAAAACAAATGACCATTCTCACTATAGAGATACAGTTAAGTTTGGCTGACTTTAGAATTCGCTAGTTAATGATAATCAAACTACTAACTCACACCTGAACCTTCGGTTGGAAATAATATGTTGTACCAAATGTTACTAATGTTAAACAAGGTTTATTGTTCGAAAAAGCCATGAAAGTTGTGTGTGCGCTAATGTTGTGTACAATGGTCTGTTTTTAGATCGTTGTTTCCACAATTTACTGAGAGTGAGCTGGTGCGCTGTGATGCCTGATGACTGATCTGACTCAACCTTAACACTGGTTTGTGGATGTATCCGTCTAAAATGAAACCTTTGTTTTTTCTTCCTCCAACATGTTTACATACAGGCAACATAGAGTACAGCTGTCCAGCCACCAACGAGTGCGAGATCACCAAGAGGAGACGCAAGTCTTGCCAGGCCTGCCGCTTCATGAAGTGTCTGACTGTGGGCATGCTGAGGGAGGGTAAGGGAAAAGGTCTCTTCCTTATCTTTCTCTGTTAAATGTGCTACATGTAGCATTTTCAAACCTATTACAAAATCTATTCATTTGATTTGGTTTTTGGTGCAAACTTCCAAAAGTCTCATTACAGCATCATGTGCTTCTCGACTGATTTTTTGGTTTTCAGAAATCATTTTCTGATGCTCCAAAAGCTCTGGAAACTCTTCATTAGTAATCATTAGTAACAATTGAATAAATACAAAAAAGTCCCATGAGAATTGTGGACACAAATTTGAGAAACACTGTGCTTTCATTTAAATATGGGGTATGTTTTGCAAAAAAAAAAGGGGGACATTCGACTATAACAATCAGTTATTGATTTTAAGCAATGCTACATGTAACACTTCTAAGAACTTGCTAATTCTTCTTTTAAGACTTGATATAAGTATATCTTTTAGAACCTTGTTCACCTTAAATGTTCATATTTTTATAGTCCTTGAGTGTCCTCAGAAAGTTTTTCTCTCTTTCCATGACTCTCATTGTCTTTTTGTCTCACCATTGCTTGATATTTTTCTACATTTGTCTTTTTTATGTATATTTCTAACTTTCACAAACACAAGTTACATACAGGCATTGGTGTGGGAATGATTACATTCAAAGTCCCAGTTAAAACAAATGATATCCTCACATTTAGCAGATGTTTTCTGGTGAAAAAAAAGGTAACAAAACATTAGAGCTATCATCTGCTCCACACCACTCTGATTAAATACACTCACTCTCTCATTTTCACACTCCCTCGTTGCCTCTGCCTCTTTCTCCCCCCTCTCGTCTGCCCACCTTTGACCTTTCTACTCCCTTTGCACTTCCAACGATGAAAGGAGGGAGAGGAGTGGTGAGGGATGAAGAGGATGGCCGATACAGAGGGAGAGAGAGGCATAGCAGGAGGGGAGCGGCGGGAGAAAACTAGGGGGAGGAAGGGAGGGAGAACAGATTGATTTATAGGAGCAGAGGAGAGGGACCAGGGGAGGATGAGAGGCAGGGGGAGGATGGTTGAATGAAGCAGAAAGTGTGTGAGAGAGAGAAAGGAGAGGAGAGGAGGGTCAAGGTTGTAATTGATGGGAGACCTGGCCTACGCCCCCTTCCTTACAGTGGTCAGGGAGCGTGCCTCTGCCGACGCCTGCCAGCCCTCCCTCCATCCATTCCTGTCTTCATCTCTCCCTCCAGTTCTCCCACTCAGTATTTTTGTACTGTTTATATTCCTTCTCCTCTGCCTCTCTTCAATATATTCTCCACTTGGCCTGCTGTTCTCTTCATCCTGTTGGCACCACAACACTCATCCAAACCTGCAGCTTTCAACCCACTCCCAAACTGTTAGGTGAACCCATAACAGCTTGAGTTAGACAGTTGTAATAAAAACAAAAACATGAATTTGTTATTAACCTAACAAGCTGTTGGTCGTTTATGGGTCTGCAAATTCACAGGCTCAGTGTCACACTTTGCCATTGCTCAAATAAACTGATAAAAACATGTACAACATAAATGTAGTTTTCAGAAAAATAAATGCATGAGATGAATAATGTCCCACAGTGACACCACACACATGGTTGTCATGCAAGATTCAACTTACAAAAAGCACTGCTGGACAAAAACAAGCATTCTTGTTTTGATAAAAAAATACCGTATAGGCCAAGAAACTATTTCTTAAACTAAAAGAAAAACATAAAAGTGATAAAAGAAGGTGGCCAGAGTCTTACATCAAGGTCAAATTTTACTTGAACTATATTTTGAATCAGCAAAACTGAAGAAAAGTCTGAGAAAAGAACATAGACATGTAAACACTCCAACAAGATAAATAAAGAAACCATCCCCATTAGCCCCGATTTACTGAAAAGCTCACTCTCTTCTAACTTTCTCTACCTCCCTCCCTCTTTTGTACACATACATACTCACAAACACACACACACACACACACACACACACACACACACACACACACACACACACACACACACACACACACACACACACACACACACACACACACACACACACACTCCCAACAAGCTGCTGTCGTAGCGTTTGTTCTCCCAGTCGATCTGACATCGGCAGAACCGATGTCTCATCTCCTGTTTTGTCTCGTGCATGTGCGTGTGGCCACAAACACAGACACACATGTGTAAGTGCATGTATTATTGGCAGCTCAAACAGTCTCACTGCTCAGGCTGCATCTCCTTCTGGACACAGACACCACATCGCTTCATCGATAAACACCAGACAGAGCTGTCATTTTAAAAAACGATTCATTTTTTTTGTCATCAAACAACTTCTTTTAGCACAGTTTCTGTTCAGCAATGAGTGAAGAAGAGGTAGTTTTGTTATTGATTTCAACTCCTAAGGATGTGGTTTGTACACTTAGCCTTCAGAGAGCAGAACTACGGCTGCATTTTGTTTTCGCTGCGCCACTGCTCCACTCCACATTTATCATGCACACGCACACACATACCTAGGGTTATATGTATATATACATCAACATGACAGACCACAGCCACCCCATTTGTTGTGCTGTGTGTGAATTTGATACAGGAGACCCTGCTCTACATATGAATAAGGGTCATTTGGAAAATGGGTGTATCAATTTTTTACACTTTTTTCCTTTGTACTGATTTTAAACTGGGGAATTTGAAAAGATAGATACCAATACAAAAGAGCCTTATGTATTCCATTACCATTTCCCCTCAGTGACATGTCTGTTTCATGTCTAAAGCTGTGTGAATATTTACCCAGCAGAAAAAAATATTATTTTACTGCAATAAAAGGTAAAGTGGTTAAGGTGGTCTGATTTTAAAATTATTACATTAGCCAAGCACATTTTTTGTGATATCATGTTGAATACAGCCTGAAGATAGATTTATGATCTATATTTATTTAGACCAGTGTAAAGAAGGAGAGAAAATTATTAAATGACCTAGGGTTTTATTTATCAACGTACACTGGTAGTATGGCTTGTACGCACTGTATCATAGCGAGACCACTGGTGATTATTATATCACGCCTATCTAACACTCCTTTTCAGACACAGCATGTAAGAACATTGCTTGCTGTGTTTCATGCTGCCCTTCTGGGTAGAAGTATGGTTGAAGCAGAATTGCATGGATGATAATGGTAAGTGGCTAGATCAGTTAGCATCAGAGCTAACCTCAGTTGTCAGGGGCTAGCTCACGGAAAAAAGGTGAAGATAAAGTGGTAAGGGTGGAGTGTGTGCGAGGTGGAGGACATGGGTCTGTGTGTCTCTTTGTATGTGTGTGTTGATGCATGTGTGTAGATGCTGTAGTTTACCCCTTAGGGCAAGATCTGCCTCAAATTAGCTTTGTCGCCTTGGGAGACAGAGAGGGTGAGATGAAGAGCAAAAGAGGCAGCAAGGAAGTGTGTGTGCATGTCTGTGAGGAAAAGAAAGAGATTATCAAGAGGCCAGGCGGTAAGTAAATCAACTCAGAGTGGAACTTTTTTCTCATATGTTAGCTGAAATTAACCCCTGATCATCCAAATAAAATAAACACACAGAAAGCCCAGTTTGTGTGAAAGAAATTGAATGTTTCTTGCACAGAGGAGAGCAGTGAACGAGCTGAGGGGGGTAAACTGAAAGAATGAACGAACGAGAAGCACCCACCCACCAATATGTACCAGCTAATTTCTAAAGCAAGGCAATTAAAAGACCTGACTATATTATGAGAACTTCCCCTCTGGCAATGGCTGTCTGTCCATTTTTAATGAGGTCATAATGATGCGTCAGCTGAAGACCAAAAGGTCACAGGGGCGGGGCTTGATTCTGCCAAGAGAGAGAGGGGTTGTGGGGGATGGGGGGGTTTACTGATTCTGTTGCAGCTAAAGGATTTGATAGAAGCAAAAATTAGCAGCTTGTAATTTTCAACAAATCCAAACTCAGAAAATACATTTAATTTGAGTTAAATATGACTGCTTACAAGCCAAGGTATTTTAGTTGTCACAGTTATTTCTATTATAGCAATCTGGCATGGCAAGACAGACATAATGCATTCAAATTGAGCAGTAATGCGTAGAATTGTCATGAACAGAATACAAAACACAGATCAGACATTTGAACATGAAAGCTTTGGCAGAGGCACACGGTCTACGAGCCAGAAGTATTCAGAATGCATCTAAATTGTACATATGGTCATATTGACAGACCTGCTCCCTTACAACACAGCAGCTTTGATGATGGCACGTGTGATGAATCCTGGTTAAACACACAGAATGTGTTAAAGCAAAACCAAAGCCTTCGTTTCTGTTTTGCTGTAAACGGCCAGCTGGATTCAGATGGTAGACAACTACAGAGACCACGGACTGCAAATATAAACCTTGGCACTGAGCCGTGCACACACACCCCACACACACACACACACACTTAAAGCTGATGCCAACTTTGGCAGTGCTCCCCACAGCCTCTAAGACCTAATGAGTGAGATCGGGTGGAAGGCCCCAGTCTGTGTGAGTGCTGATGCCGGTGTGTGTGAGTTTGGTGTTCATATGCAGCTGGTAGTGTACGTCATAACCCCTTTCGTAGCTCAACAAATGACTGCTGCTATCAGATCTCATTGCTGCACGCATGCATCCAAAACATAACCTAACCTAACGTTCTAGGGCACAGCTCGACTCATGTAAGAATACTAAACACTCAAAGACAATTTGTCTCTCATAAAGGAAACATGACTTCTTCAAATTGACCAAAAAGAGAAATCAAAATATCTAGAAAACACAGTTTGAATTGAGAAAAGTGCAGACAAACACAAGAAGTAATGCAGAAAGAATGAAAGTAGGGAATGACTAAGGGGGCAAGTGATGGGGGAGAGGGGAGGAGACGAGAAGAGGACAGGGGAAACAGAGGAAGGAAGCGCCAGACAACTGGTGGCGTCTGGTGTTCCCCCATGGGAAACTTGTAGCTAAATCTGGCCCTGTAGCGTCTGTCCCGAGCGAGTGTGTGAGAGTGTTTGTGTGTGTGAATGGCATCTGGTTGCATCCCGACTCGAAAGTAGCGATAATGGAAATACTGTGACGGGCGATCTGCCTAAGTGGTCCACTCTCTTTCACATGCACTGTTTGTTTCTGAGGAAGGTAGATGTGGCAGGACAACTGTTTTGGAAAAGAAAAGTATATAAGAGAGGACTTGAACCAATTATGGTTATTGTTTTTAGCTGCATTTGTTCAAGTTCAAATTAGCAATACTTAAAAAAATATCCTGTCACAAATTCCACTCATCAAGTATCACTTTGTAATTTACTTGAATTTGTAGTTTTTTTATGAATTAAGACATTAATCATTGCTAAAATATCCTTTCGACTGTGTCATTCATTAAGCGATCATCTTATCTCAGCTTTTTTTGGAAATATGGAATGTAAAAAGATAGAATAAAATTGGCATCAAAGTACAATAAATAACCATCCATAGAAATTTGTGATTTATCATTGCATTTAACAAACAAGGCCTTACAGAAAAGGGGGCAATATTTCAGAAAAGGCAGCACATTACATGGACGTCACAAGCTCTCACACACATGCCCGCCTTCACACAAACACACACACATATTCACACACCAGTGACAGCCACCTGCCCGCTGCCTCAGGCAGTGCTGTTCTGATCTGTTCTGGTCTAAACTAACGTCACTGCATGACACAACACACGCTGTCCTCTTAACCTCAAATCTACCCCTCAAACATGCTCCTTTTATTTTTCTTTGTTCGAGCTCTTCTTTCAAAAACTACCAACAAAAAAAAAACATATGAAACTTGACACTTAGGACTGCTTGATTTCTCAAAGTTTAAACCTACCAGTTAACCAGACACAGGATTCCTTTAGATATTTTCAGGCACATTATATGTTTCTTCAAGTAAGAGGTACACACACACACACACACACACACACACACACACACACACACGCAATACACAACAGGCTTAAACCAGCCTGTTGTCCTACCCAATCTACTTGGCCATCAGTTCTTAAAACCACAAAGGAAAACCCTCCATGTTATTACATCAACACTGTGGTTAACACTCACACACTCAATCACAAATAACACACTCTCAGAAACATAAGGTGATAACCTGGTTGAAGCTGGAAGAGAGACTGCAACCCTGTTACAACTTCAATTATCATAAAACTCTCTCTCTCTCCCTCTCACTGTTCCCTCATCCCTGCCTCTTTAGATTCTGTCTCTCTTCTTCTTCTCTTTTTGTCATTTCTCTTTCCTCTTGCTGTGATCAACAGAAATCAATCATTTTATTTCCTCTTCTTACTCCTCTCTCCACTCCATCCCTCTCTCCCTTTTGCTCCCTCTTTCACTCTCTTATCATATCATTGACCATCTGAAATCAATTCATTTTGTGTCTTTCTCTTCTTTTTCGCCTCTTTTTCACTCCCTTCCTGCCTGTTCTCTCTTTAAAAGCACTTTGGTGTCACAGGCATTTCAGTAGCAATCCCTCAACTGTTAAAACACACTCACACACACACACACACTCACACACACACACACACACAGACCCACACAGATGCACACATGCTGACATAGAGTGACGCCAGTTTTGTGTAAAATCTATGCCGATGTGATCAGTGCAGTTCATGCTATTGACAGGCAGCAATATTCCCACGATAGGAAAGATTCACCTTCATCACTGTCATCGTGTGTGTGTGTGTGTGTGTGTGTGTGTGTGTGTGTGTGTGTGTGTGTGTGTGTGTGTGTGTGTGTGTGTGTGTGTGTGTGTGTGTGTGTGTGTGTGTGTGTGTGTGTGTGTGTGTGTGTGTGTGTGTGTGTGTGACAGGTACATAACTTGTCATGTTTTTAAAAAAGAAAAATAGACTGTTATAATACTGTTATTGAACATCAAGGAAATGTGGTGGGGGGATTCTGTGTGTGAGTGTAGAAGTGGAGGCAGTAGACTGAGTAGAGGTGCACTGTTAGTTGACATAATAATTAAAGGATATAATTAAGGTGTGTAACCTCTGTGGATTTCCTCTCTTTCATGGATCTCTCCCTTTCTCTCATTATTCTAACCCTATCTCATTTCCCTTTTATTAGCCCTCAAAGCTTCCCCCCTTTTCTGTACTATATCATACTTTTTCTTCTTTGTTTACTAGACCATCCATTACCCTGCTTTTATATTACAACCTATACTATATACTTTCTTTCTGCTTTCTTTTATCACATTCTTTCTTTTGTGTTTCTCATATTTATCTGAATTTTTTTCTCGCTTTTTTTATTTCCCATTTCTAACCCATTGGCTCTTTAATTATTCTGTTCCTTTCCTCTTAACATTTTTTTATCCTTACATTTCCTCACTTCCTAAGACCCTTTCCTCTCTTCTCCCCTCCTCCCCTCAGACCTTCCCGACTCTCCCCTCTTGCCCATTCTTTACAACTTGAAGGCTCATTTGTTAACAGGAGGTAGAGCACTCTCACTCTCCCCCTAGCCTCCTCCTGTCTCTTTTTTGTGGGCTTTGGAAATATAATTTTCAAATTTTAATTTGATTCATTTAGATTCGATCATTAATCAGTGCTGAGAGAGAGTTAATTTGGTGGAAAATAGATGAGGTAGTTAGAGAGGGCTCTTTATAAAGTGAGCTCAGCACAGTCTGAGTCTTTTAGGTGTAAGGAAGAGAGAGAGAGAACATTTGAGAGCCTTCATGTGAGTGTGTGGGTAATGGTTGAAATGTGTGTCTGCAATAGGATGTATGAGAGAAAGTGTGTGTAGATGGTTAGACAAAATAAACAGTAATTTTAACATCTTCTCCCATAAGTGTTACACTTTACTCTGAAATTGAGGATACACACTTAGCATGTGTTGCTTGGCTCTCCTGCCAATGCTGCCTTTATTTTCTGGTGCCACCTGTATATTTGACCCTTTCCCTCATTTCCTCTGTCCTTCGACTTTTCGACTCCAATACTCTGCTTCTTCCTCCTGTCTGTCTTCCTCTCCTCTTCTGACCAGCCACTGACCCAGGTAGTGACTGAGCAAGCTGCTTGTTGCAGCGAAACCCAAACACAACATGAGGGTGTGTTAGAGTTTTTGTGTCAGTGTGTGTGTGTGTAAGAGAGAGCAGAGAGTGGGTGCGTGAGTGCATTTGTACCCCCTGGTGCTAAGAGTTTCTTGACCGTTTGCTGACACTGCCTCCCCCAACTGTACCTGGACTGTCAGCCCTTCTGTCTACCTATTCCTGTCTCAAACACACACACACACACACACACACACACACACACACACACACACACACACACACAGCAGTCAATGTCCAGTACACTTGGCCGACTGCTTCCAAAGCTAGTTTGAGGTTTCTAAAGGATTACATTCCATTTGAAAATGCATGCACTCAGATAAGATGCTTTAGATCAAATATGCTGCCACATACAGATGTGACATGACATGTACCAAACACAAATAAAACAGAGAAACACATTTTAAACACTCTTTCAATGCTAGAGAATGAACAAACCTGCCACTGACATTTTTTCTTCTCTGCAAAGGAATGTCTTTCTGTTAAAACTCTGAGGTGTGTTGTCGTGTTCATGGTCAGCACATTTCCAAAGGATGTAAATATCTTTATGTTAAGAAAGAAAATCTAGACTCCTCAGAAAGCCTTACAAGTCACTCTGAATGCATTGTTTTATGCTTAGTGTGAACACATAAAATCTTCAGTAACAGAAAATATAATAGCAAGATCAAAAACCATTTCTTCTGTTAATCTACCAACCACTGTTAATCTGACTTTCCCTTGCCTATCGCTCACTCAGTCAGTGTTTCACAGTGGGATACATGGAGGAATTCCATTGATTAAGTTCCTACAGATAAGCCCTCTAGATGTCTGTTGAGAGTTAGTGGCCCTTTTGGTTGTTTGAACTCCTATTTTTCTTGATGACACGACTGTGGCTGCTCTCAGAAATATAATCGTATGATTGCAAATGGGCATTTCAAAAAGCTTTTATAGGTTTAATGTCAAAACACAACACATATGGGTGCTCCAGTAGCCTAGTGGTAAGTGGGCATGTGTACAGAGGCCGTGGTCTTCCATGCGGGCAACTAATCTGACCTGTGGCTCCTTTCTGCATGGCTTAAGATAGAGAAGGTAAAAAGAGACATGTCTTGAACATCTTAGCTAGTTGGCATCAGCCATTTTGGATCTCACTCTCAAATACCTGAGGTTTAGTTTTAATACATTTGGCAGCTCTTTAGGATTCCTCCACCCCTCCCCTTCCCTCTCCTCCTCTCCTCAGGGGCATATGACACCTCTGTCTTCCTTATCCATCTTTAAGTGGTAACCACGGTAACATCCAATCCCTTGAGAGATAGGACTAATTAAATTAGGACTCCTTTGTGTCAATTAATTAACGAGACACAGAGAGGGAGACGGCGATTGGGGAAGAGACAGGGAAAGAGTCAGAAACCTAGAGAAAGAGATTGTGTGTGTGTGTGTGTGTGTGTGTGTGTGTGTGTGTGTGTGTGTGTGTGTGTGTGTGTGTGTGTGTGTGTGTGTGTGTGTGTGTGTGTGTGTGTGTGTGTGAGTGTGAAAAAGAGAGAGAGAGAGCAGCCCTCAACTCCATTGTTGTCTCTATAAATTAATCTTGTTGTAGAATAAAAGAAGCACATGAGTTTAGCAAGCTTGACAAGAACTTGAAAGGAGCTACCTGCATATCACACACACGTGTACATGCATGCAATGCAGTACCAGGATGTTTCTCACCACGTCAAACTCAGATCTTATGTGTACTTTTCCTTGAGGTCTGACCTGTCACCTTCATCTTTCCATTCATTTTCACTTTCTCTTTCTATGTATGTTTGCAACTGCTAGATTTGTTTATTCTATAAACCAGTGTAATGCACATCATGTTGATACACTTTTTTATGTCTTCCAGGAGTTCGTCTGGACAGGGTTCGTGGTGGGAGACAGAAGTATAAACGCCGGATAGATGCTGACAACAGTCCATATCTGAACCCACAGTTGGCTCTGCCTCCCAAGAAACCATGTAAGAGCACACCTCAAGTCTGAATTTATATGTAAAATGCCTTTTTTTCTCACTTGAAGCAGTGATTCTCAAGAACAGTCTCTTGCATACTGTCCTTGGGGCAAAGTAGCTCATACTGTACTCTACAAATTGACATATGTGCTACAGCAGCAACAGAATCTGTTGTGGTGCGCAGAGGAAACAATAAAAGACTAACACAAACAGACAGAACACAAGGAAACTTCTCCCTAGAAAAATGGAAAAAATAGTTACATTCTTGCGCATCGTGTAGGTAGTGTTCATGTTATGGTACGGACTCGTCATTGAGAGACCAGAAGAACAAGGAACTGCGTTTCAATCTGTCTCTATCCTGATGGAGACAGTTGGACAGTAAAAACATTTAAACACACGTCTACACACACACACGCACACACACACACACACACACACACACACACACACACACACACACACACACACACACACACACGTAAATAGACACGGTAGTGAGAAGCCCATCTGTTTGAGACCAAGTTTATCTCCTGGCACTACTACCAGGTCATAACATTTTATATGTGTAATATTTCACTGTAAAGGTATTCATTTAGCCCCGGATGGGTTGGCTGTGTTTTTTAAAGAATAAAACCATCGCCAAAGCCTGATGATTGAAAAATTAACAAGGGAGAGAGTGAGAGAGCGAAAGAGAGAGAGAGAAGCTAAATGGGAACATTTCTCAGAGAGAGGGAGAGAGAGAAGCAGGAGGGAGGGAGGGAGAGGAAGGAGGGAGAGGAAGGAAGGGAAGAGGACCAGCCAGTACCCTAATCCGGATTAAATCCAATCTGGCAACCACATCAAACTAGAGTTAGCTCTTCAGCTAACCGTCTGCTCACATACACACACACATACACACACTCTCATGCAGTGCAGATTGAGCAGTGTTTAGCAGCTTGGTCCCAAAAGCCCATTTTGCTTAAAGCTGGAGCATATTCTGCTTTAGGCCAATATGCTGAATGGCTGCACGACAGCTTACCGGGAATTCTGCACTACTAATCATTGAAATGATGGGATAATAAAATGCATGCACACCGTGTGTGTGTGTGATTATAATGTTTTTGTTTGCATATATAGACCATGTGTTCATGCAAACTGAATGTCTCCTCTGGCATGCTATAGACTAATTTCCTTAAACTGGATAAGTGATATTTAACTCTTAAATCCTATTAGTATTCCATCAAGATGTTTTCCTGTTTTGAATGACTTATTTACTTAAATCATCAATCATCACTCAAAGTGCTTATTCAAGTAAGTCCCTAGTTTACATCTTTCCATTAAATAATGATATGAACATAGTATCTCTCTCTGACATAAAAACCAACCTACTCTTAAAAACAAAACAAAAATACAGGCTTGAAATAGACTTGCAGGATTTCTCTTGTTCTTTATCTCTTACACTCAGTCAATACACACACAAAAATCTGTCTGTCTCTCTGTCTCTGTCCCTCAGATAAACGCACACAGCCTATCTATCTGTAGCCCAATCCCCAGCCTCAGCGTCCCCATTGATTGTGTGAGAACAGAACAATAGCCCAGGGTTTGGAAATGGGCTTCCATTGATTCTAATTAGGGAAACATTAAATAAGATTTACCCACAGATACTGCACTTTGACTGGGATTGGTTTTGGCTCAAACGACCCTGGAGCTGGAGGGAAGAGGATAGAACTATATATATATATATATTTTTTTTTTTACGTGTGTGCGTGTAAAACAGAATTGGGGGTGGAGAGTGTTGGATCCATACACAACTCATCCCCCTTACTCTGTTTCACTCTCTCAGTGTTTATCTCTATCTAGCTGTCAGTCTCTCTTCTCTTCCTGTCTACCCATGACTCTATTTCTACCTTTCTGTCTTCTCCTTTTCTGTTCTTGTATTTTTTCTGTGGCTCTTCATCTATCCCTTGCTCCTCTCCTGCTCTTCTATCCTCTGTTATTATTTCCATGCTTCATTAGTCAGTGGATTAATTTGGAAGCAGGGTATCAGTCTGTCACTAATGGGCCGCAGATATCTCATCACCACATGTCACCATTACCAGCTGAGCTGTTTGGCTTTCAGAGTGGTCTTACCCTGCTATATGTATCGGCAAAGCTTCTTAAGGCTGTACAACAAAAAGAAAGCATTTTGTGCAGCCTAAATCACCAGCAGTAATTGCCTTTAATCACACCTTGAAGCATTTCCGAAACTGAAAAGCTTTCAATCATTTTTATTCCTCTTTAGTCCTGCCAATTTACTGGAATCAAATCAATTATCTAGTGGTTCATTGTGAAAAACATTTCTCAGGACATGTAGACAATGAATGGTAATAGATCATCCTCTTATTTGATCTTGCATTCATCAAAATGGGTAGAATCTGAGTGTTCTAAAGTTTACGATGCAATGTAATATTAATATTCTCTGCAATGTATTTTTTTAACTTTGACTTTTAAACGAGCATAACTTCATGAACATTGTTTACAATTGTAAGGTTTTAACGTGACGACTGAAGATTTTTTGCTGCATGCTTGTGCTGAGTTGAATAAATATGCTGAGTTGTTTCTGTTGATTTGATATTCAAGCCATGTTATAAGTCAAGTTTGCTCCTAAATCGTGTGGAACAGTTTGTAGCCTACTGAAGCAAATATTCACCATCTCTCTGTCTCTGTGTGTCTTTCTCCTTGTCTGGTGGTCATGTCAGTTGCCTTTGGCTGCCTTGCAGATAACAAAATCGTCTCTCACCTGCTGGTGGCCGAGCCAGAGAAGATTTACGCCATGCCTGACCCAACAGTACCAGATAGCGACATCAAGGCCCTGACTACGCTGTGCGACCTGGCTGACAGAGAGCTGGTGGTCAACATCGGCTGGGCCAAACATATCCCAGGTAGGTGAAAAAGAGTTGTACACCCTTACCTTCACTGAGCCTAACCTGAATCTGTTTGTACACAATCAAACAAGATACCTTTTTTCTTCAACCAAATTATTGAAGATTTGAAACACACACCCACACCCACACAGGAAGGACACACAAACACACAAGCTGTTTTAATTAGCAGAGAAAGTACTAGGTTAAAGTAGTTCAGGCACTCACATACAGGTGAACATACATACAAGTTCACCTAGTGCTAAGGTGTGACCTTCCACCCTAATCCTTGAACCCAGACAGTGTGAACTGTTGACTCCTCCAACAGGCTGACCAAATGACCTCACTTATATCACACACACACACACACACGCACACACACACACACACACACACACACACACACACACACATTCTGACCTTTTGAACTAACAATCCAATCCCTTTACCTTCGACCTGTGTATGTGTTTGTGGGTGTGTTTGTGTGTGTGTGCCTGCAGTCACTGTACAGTGTATACTGCAAGGCCTTTTAACCACAGATTTGCCTTACTGGTTTTAAACCTGACAGTTAATTAACTAATTTCAGTATACAAAAAGAATAATTTCAGTAAAGCGCTACCTTTAGCAGCATCGGGTAAATCGTTGCACAGAAAACGGTGTTTTGTTGGCTAAATTAAAGTATAAAGGTGAGAGATGAAAGCTAGAATGTGTTTTTGTTTTTAGTGAGGGAGCCTGCTGTGACAATATTGAAGAACGAATAATGGTGTCTCAGATAAACATAGATTACTGCAAAGATTTGTCAATGGTTATAGAAAAGACAGAACAGAAAAGAATTGTATTGTATTGAATTGAATTACCTCCTGATGCCACTGCTCAAAGAGTATCCCAGGATATGAAAGCAAAGGGGGGAAACACCATATTAGAGACATAAATACCACTCAGTCATGCTGCGTAAATCTATAATAATAAAGTCAATGGTTTTGGATAACAGGATCTCCAAATGATATTTTTTTTATGTCTTATCAATAAATGTGAGAATAACAAAGAGAAGAGAAAAAAAGACTGAGAGAGAAAGGAAAGGAGAGATGGGAATATACATTGCTTCTTGTTAGTGTATTGATTTATGTGCTGCTATATGGGCAATAAGCAGACATATGTATTGATCTAGAAACTAAATTTAGCCCTTAAATATTTATATTTTGCTTTCAAAACAACATATAGCATCTTTCCAATACCATCTCCTATCCTCTAATCTCCCTGACCTGCGTTTTACTCCCTTTTGCTTTCTCTTCTAATCCATTTATCCCTCTCTCCTTCTCTCTTTCTCCCTCTTTATATGCCTAAAGTTACTGCATATTACATGCACACACACACACACACACACACACACACACACAGACACACACACAAGAATTGACATGCAAATATACACACCAACATACGTGATGTTTATTTATGGAATTATACATCTGTCTTTCTTTTTCCTTTGCTCACTACTTTTACAAGTGTGGTAGAGTGAGATAGCCATGTGGTAGGTTAAATCTCTGTGTGTGTGTGTGTGTGTGTGTGTGTGTGTGTGCGTGTGTGCGTGTGTGTATGTTTGTGTGTGCTGCTTTCTGTGTGGAGGGAGCAAAGCGCAAGGATTGCTTGGCGGAGAAGAGAAGATGGCGTGATTAGATGAAAGAGAGGGGCAATCCACTGCTACCACAGAAAGATAGAACTCTTCATCTTCCAACTGTGTGTGTGTGTGTGTGTGTTTGTGTGTGTGTTGTGGACACTTTATGAAATCTTCATTGTTTGCAACACTGATCTAATACTCGCCTTCCTACACACACACACACACACACACACACACACACACACACACACACACACACACACACACACACACACACATAAAAACATGGTACGCACAGAACGTGATCTACTGTTCACTCAGGATTGAAACGATTGTCAGCAAGAAATACACCTCCTTGACAGTCTTTATCAGACTTCTACACACACACACACACACACACACACAATACTATACAATACAAAACAATGACTTAAGTCTTGAATAGGATAGACTAGAATAGACAGGTTAACCTTTTTGTAGCCTTCTTGTTTCAAATCTTGTCAACTGTGTGTGTATGCGTGTGCATTTTTTTGTGTGTCTTAAAACTCCATAGGGCGTACATGTGAACAGGCCTGTCTTTGCTCGCCATGGTACAGTAATTTTTTTAATCAAATTGATGGAGAGAGACAGAGAAACAAAGAGAAAAAAGACAGAGGCAGAGAGAGGAGAGGTAAAGCCAATTTATGCTCCATGATATGGCTGTGCAGCGCTGCAAACGCACACACACACACGCACAGACACACGTACACACACGCACACACACGCACACACACACACACACACACACACACACAGGCTGCTAACAGTGGTAACAACGTGTCAAGGCGAGCGCCAGGCAGCTAATTTGAAGTCATTAGATGTCTGCCGTACTGGCAACAATTTGTTACGCTCCCACACGCACAAACACACACACAGAAAACCACATCACATGCACACACTGAGTTAAGAGCCGTCTGCGGATAGCGAGGAGGCTAAATTGTAAACTAATTTAAACATCACTCAGCGTTAGAGAGGCTGCCTGCAAGACAGGCCCTCGGATAACAAGGCTAGGCTACGCGTGTATGTGTGTGTGTTGCTAGCCGTGTTTGACACACAGAATCGCCCAACCTTAGAGACGTGTGACAACACACATAAACACACATATCTCTTTGATTGGTCCTTTTATTCTAAAGCTATGCTGGTCTGTGTGTGTGTACGCTCATTTCCATACTGATATGGCCTATATGCAAACATTTGATATGTCATTAGAAGTAGAAAATGAGGTTTCAGACACAGTGTGTGTCTCTTGTTTCCTACTAGGAATGGGACTCTAACACATAGGCGCCGCACACATGCACATTTGGATCAAAGAGCGATGAAATGCATGCAAACACATACACAAGTTGGAGAAGCCCTCTTGCTGTTCTAAGCTGTGGGAAACTCAAAACAGGAGTAGCCACACACACACGCACACACACTTCCAGATTCAGTACTCTAAAGTAGAGGAAAAAATGACATTTTTAGAAATTTTTGAAAGAAGATTTTGCATCCTTACATATTATTAATGAAAAGAAGATATCATTTTAAAAGCTCTCAAAGATACAACTCCCGCTGCATAAGAGGCTGAATGTCATAGTCAAGCATGTGTGTATTAGCGCATGTGTTGAAGGAGGAACCAGGAGAGGTCAGGTGAGAGGAGGAGGAGAACAGCAAATATTTAAACAGGATGAGAGAGTGAATTAAAAGAAAGAAAGAGGGCATTCAAAACGAGCCATTTATCTGTCTGTAAAATTAGTCTTTTCATCCTTTCTTTTCTCTTCTCTTACTCCCTCATTCTCTCTCACTCTCACTCCATAATAACTAAATGACTACCGGGCAGTCATGCCAGGAGCTCTTATCTCTCCTCACGGACACAAAAGGGATAGACAGACAGGCGAGCACTTGACTTGACGAAAAGAGCAAGGAATGAACAAATGAATGAATCAATGAATGAGAGGCAGAACCTATAACACTGCCTATTTTACCAGAACCAGGGGCCTTGCCATTAGTGTTTCTTTATGACCCCTCCCCCATTCTTTCTTTATTCAAGAAAGAAATTGCTCTCGGGCCGCCCCCACTTCCCCTCCACTATTCTCTTGCTTCTCTATCTCCTTTTACTTGCTCATCTTTTTTTCCTGCAGTCTCTCTCCCTCTCTTCCATTCCTTCCCCTTTCAATTTTGACACTCAGGATAAGCGGTCTATGTGTCGAAAGTAACGCGGTATGATTGAGCTGTAAAAAATGGGTGAAGGGGGGTGTAGGGGTTTGCTGTCTGTCTATTCATTTAATCGGCCTTTATGGAGATATGGCAGAAGGTGTTTTGGTGGTGGTGGTGGTGGTGGTGTCAAGGGGAGTCCTCTTGTTTCATGTTGTGCACGCTTCTGTCTATCTCTTCATCATTTTTTTGTCATGTCTTTATTCCGCTTGTTTTGATTTTGGAATGAGCAATGGTGTTGAAAGAACCCACAGAGGTGTTAAAAATAAGAATGAGGTGTAGGTCTGAATGACTGGTAGCCTCTGTTTCATGTCAGTGTTGTTGAATGTTAGCACTACTCCATAAACTCTGACATTTCCTGCCACAAGAAGATGTTGCTTCTTCTAGCGTGTTTCATTTGAGAAACTGGTAGAGAAATATTCCTTGGTTAAAATGTAGCCTGGCTCCCATCAGTAATCATTGTCTCAAAAGTAAAATAAATATTATATATCTATTTTTTACATTTTTTTATATATAGATGTGAATATATATAACCTTAATTAATAGAGATGACTTTTAAATAATGACAGTATGGGATTGAAAACACAGCATTATTTATTGATTGACTAGGGAGCACACCTCCTAAATTAAACATGCGAGGGTGTTTCTTTTCTTGTTTTAAATAGGATGAGAAAGGAAGCCTAAGCAGTTCACAATAACTAGTGGAAATATATCTGTTGGCTAATACAAATTACACGTGGAGTTCCTCAGGGCTCATTTGTCGGACCCATTCAGTTTTATTGTATTAAGACTGGTGTAGGAAGTACTGAAGATTAAGAAATTAAGCTGTATTTGTAGGTTAGATTTTAGGTTGGATATTGTATGTTCTTCTTTTTTACTTTAATAATTGCATGTTTATTGATACATACTGTACATGTTGATAGTTGTGAAGTTAAAGTTATTATATCACTAACTGTGTGGTTTAGAAATGTACAGGGGCAGAAGCATGGGAATTGGTGGAAATGAAAAGCAGGGAGGTCAGATACATTACCACAGTATAACTTGGATACTCCCAAAGAGCCTTTTTACACAATACTATTCTGACCTGATGGCTAAATGTCCCCCACCTCTTCAACCTCTCTTGTGACCTCTCTTTTTCCCTCTGTATACTTGGGTCTTTTTCCGTCTCCCC